ATTGACCCACATTGGGGCTTCTGAAAATTGCAGTTCCTTGGCCAGCCCGACCATCGCGAACTCGGTGACCTACGTTGGGTCTTTTGCATTTGCCGGTTGCGGCTCTTTGGTGAACGTGAACCTGATCATCCCGAACTCGGTGACCCACAACTTTGGCTTGGGCTTTTTGGGATTGCACATCTTTGGGGAACTTGAACATTGGTCAGAATATTCTGAGGGGCCTGGAGGAAGGTGCCTTCAGGAATTGCAGCTCTCACTTGACCATCCCAGATTTGGCAACGTGCATTTGGGATTCTGCTTTGGAGAATTGGAGCTCTTTTGCGAACTTGACCTTTCCAGACTGGATGACCGACATGTGGGATTCGGCCCTTGAGAATTGCAAGTCTGTCTAAAATGCTCGAAGTGCCTTAAGCTGCTTGTCTTCTGTTCAGCGACACGGGTCGTTCTTTTTTGAGAATCAACCTGTCCCAGACACTCCATGGGACTGCCATATTTGCCTATACATCCTATACTCCTTGACCCCCATAGCACCACCCCTGGCCGTTTCTCGGCAGTCCGGCAGCTCCCAGATGGGTCGTGTCTTAGCTGTTGGATCGTCCCCCGCGACAGGTCTCCGTGGCCGAACGGATCTTGGTGGCCCAGTACTTCGGCGCGCTGCAGCACGCGGCGCGGAGCGTCGACGAGAAGCGGCCCAGGAGGCGGATCCGGGCGCTTGGGCCGCGAGGGGGCGGTTTGAGTGGCGGCGAGTGGGCGAAGATGGTGGGTCGTTTGAGCAGCATGTTGAACAGAGCCAAACATATCCTTGAGTCTGGCAGTTGAAATGAACGACGTGTACAAGATTCAATCAGCTTTAAAAGACCGCTTGAACTTCCGCTTGCGCGAGTGTATGTGATTTCTGCTTATAGCGGCAGGACTGTGTATTTGATGCCCCTGGGTGGCGGCGTGTTCAACAACCCATGGGAGTCGATCGCCAATAGCATGTGCACTGCGAAGCTTGGAATTCGTCGTTCTTGTATTTTTGGGCATGTGGGGCAAGTAGCTACTAGGGGCTCCTGGCATCGCTACTAGGAGCGATCGGACGCTACGAACGGGGCTCCTGGCCTGACTACTAGGAGCAAGGGCCTCGCCACGAACGGAACAAAGGAGGCATGTTAGCCTCGAAATGTTTGGCTTCGGTGGTTGACGCCCATTGCCGCGCCCATCCTGTTCCACCCCTCAGCTGACCAGCTCTTAGGCGCCCTTGGGAATCCACAGCGCTTGGGGGGTTCTTCCCTGCCATGTTCCTTGTAAAACATGGCTTAATCAGTAGCCGTGCTACTAGTAACAAGGGCAGCGCTACTAGTAGTAACAAGGACCCTAAAAAACATACCACTAAAACATAATATATATTAATATATTGTAAACTGTTATTAAACATAAAATGTAACTCTGGCCTTGGGAGGGGCTGGTACTGCAGCTTTCCCTTTACGCTGGGGAGCCGCATGATGATGGCGGCCGAGGATGCAAATGTTGGACGAGGAGTCCTTGGCCAAGCTCGATGTGTTCGCCTTGGCCTGGGAGGGCAGCCGGACGGAGCAGGACAGCACCGTCCGCCACAACCTCTCGGCCGCCTCTCCGAGGTTTCTTCGCTCGGACTTGGAACTGTGAACGTCTTACGTTGGTTTTTTTCGGTGCTCGGTCTCTGGAAACACCAGTATTTGATGGATCAGGGACGGTTTGCAGCGAGTTTGTGTCATGGGTTCAGTTGTTTGTGTGGCAAAAACGCCACTGTGCCGGAGTTTGCAACTTCAGCCTCACCCTAATGGACCCCAGCGTGTGAGAGATTTGGCAAGTCATTTGTCAAGGAACCATTGTGCCAAAGAACGACGATGGTGTTGAGGTTTGTCCTGCATGCTTGATTGCTTTCTGATTCTCAGGGACCTACCGTCAAATTCACACAATCATGTTGTGGCGTTAAACTGTTCAGACATGTTCAGACAGTTTGTAGCAGCTAGGGCTGGTGCTATAAGTGGCCTTTTTCTAAGTGAATGTGTTCAATTCATTGGGACCGTGCGGCTGTGACAAACGGCTAAGAAGAGAAACCCGCAAACAGCTCTGAAGGTCAAAGGCGTTGCACGCCACACGACGCCCATCCCAAGGAGACCTTGGAAAGGTTGCTGAAGTAGCGGGCCGCAGTGAGCTATGCAGAAAGAAGGCATGCCCCCTCCCCAAGCTGCAGAAAGTGGTGAGTGAGTAATAAGGCAAGCACCATGACTGACCCTAGCAGACCTCGTTGCGGCTGCTGTTGCTTTGCGTCCTAATTCAGTACATGATCGAAGACTTCCCACCTGCAGCTTGGTGAGCCATGCAGTGCATGGCTCCGCAATGATCCGCAGTGCTGGAAGCCCGCTGGAGTAGGGACTTGTGACCGAAGATGAACGGAACATGGAGTCATACGGAGTATGGCCCAAGGTTCGAGTCCCAAGAAGGCCGATCACAAGTGAGTGGCGCAGTGCAGTGACAGTGACCGTTGTGTGATTGAAAGTAGATTGTGAAGTTTGGATGAGGGAGAGGGAGAGAGTCAACATATTAATGTTCAGCATTTGCAGCCATTTGCAGCTTGCGTTTTTTCTTTTTGTTTGGGGGCAGGGTCCTCAATACTCCTAGCACTCGAACATGCGCAGAAATTAGATGTTTGGGACGCCAAAAAGGGCATAAGGAGTTAGGAAGTTTGGACCATTTTTGTTGACCCCAGAAGAATTCAGGGGATCCTTCAGGATGGTTCAGGCGAAATGCGACTCCCAGCGGATTCCCAGATCCTGCCGCGTGCCGTGCGGCAGCCGTGCGCGTTGAAGTGAGCTCACGCCCCCGAGTCAACGATGCTCCAGGGGTGACACACGATCCCGGCCCTGCTGCCGGCCCGCTTCGGCGCGGATCGCAGCAGCCGTGCAGCGCCGGTCGAAAATCAGGAGCCGAGCGGGCGAGGCGGTGGTGCGAGGCAAGGGCACTTGGCCAGTCTTGGCCAGTCTTCTTAGTAGTAACAAGTGCCACGCTAGTATAGTAACAGGTGCCTTACTAGTAGTAACAAGAAGCTACTAGTAACAAGTGCCTTACTACTAGTAACAATAAGAATTTAATTATTTTTGGTCTCACGATGTTGGTTTCCATGTGTTTTGTGGGCCGCATGTGAACGCTTGAAGTTGGTTTAATGGTTCAATGACCGCGAAAATGGTTCCCATTCTCGATGTGGCCGTGGGAAAGGCCATGAGGTTCCCCTGGGTTCGGCCATCTAGGTTGAAAGAGGTGGAATCTCATGGCAGTTTGTTCCAACCCGCCGGACCGAACGAATTGCACTGACTATAGGGTTTCTCAGCTGCAGAATCACCTGCCCAGCTTCACGCTTCGCTTCGTGGGGTGGGGTTCCCCCCAACTCACCAACTCTCCCTCCGCGGCCGACGTTCCGCCTCCCACCGAGCTCGCTCAGACGCGGCACCGAGCCCGGCTCCCACCCACGAGCCGCCCACCGCGGAGCTGAGGCGGTGGACTGCGCCTTCTTCGCGCGGAACTGCGACGGCTGCTTCGCCAACGGCTGCCGCTATTGTCAGACCAGCCCCGAGGAGCGGCGGGGAGAGGTGCGAGGTGCCCAGTGAGTTGGTGGGCCGTGTCGATATGGAAGTGGGGCACGGAAAAGACATGTGTCATTGTTCGAAGTGTCCTTGAAACACGTGGCAGCGAAATGGTGAATAAAACGATCAAGGATACATATTATATCGAGACCATCTTCTACTGGAGGCATGGAAATGAGCGATTTGTGATTTGTCCCCATGCTGATTCCGCAGTCATCCGAGTCGTTGTTCATCCCTGAAGGACTGGAGCTTTGTGAATAGCGATGGGCCAAGCAGCTGACCTTAGTTGATGAAATTTGCCGCAGAACGGGGTAACTCTTGTTTTCCCTTGCCACAGATATTGTTAGAACAAGAGGGTCTTGGAACTTGGGGAGGGATGGAAAAGGATTTTTGCTGGCAGAAACCTGATGAAATCTGACATATAGCATAGTATTTCAATATGTTGGCCAACTCTCTCTCTCTCTCTCTCTGTGGGTGGATGGATGGATGGATGGATGGATTCAAAGGCAAATGGAAGGGTAGTGCACAGAAAGGGTTTTGCAACAACCTGTTCTACTAACGTCGTGGAAGGCGCGGGACATTCGCAGAACCCAAGGCTGTTCGTGGACAGTTCGTGGAATGGTGGGCCAGTAGGAGAACTGACTGCAACGAAATCTCAGAAACCTTCGCAGAACTTCGTGGAAGGTATTTTCATGCACTAACTTCGTATAAGCGATTTTTGCCCCCTTTCTCCACACACCCTCCATTTAGCCTTCATGGATGGATGGATGGATGGATGGATTCCATTGGAAAGATGCAAGGCTAACTGATGCTAACTGGCTAACCTTGCTGGAAATCAAGATAGCCGTCGGCGCATGATGTGAGATTGGTCAGCACAAGCCTTCACCATCTATCACCCACTGCAAATGTCGTGCTCAAACTAAGCACCAGCGAATTACTGTAAGTTGCATTGGCAGATTTGATGGCAACGCAGTTAAGGCCCATGTCGCTTGCTGCCCAGCTGATGCGAATTAGGCGTTTGCACGAGAGCCGCCACTTTAGCGTGTGGGAGAAGTGCTGGAGTGTAAGTTCCTATGGCCGCTGCCGAACTTTGACTGGAAGAATTACACTTGGCAGTCTTCAGCCATCAGGGTATTTGAGAGTAGCTGTTGGAGGTTGGAACTTCATGGTGCATCGACTGGTAGCCTATGCGTTTCTTGGTTCACCTAGTGAGGAGGCATGGCAAGTGCATCACCAAGATGGAGACCCCTCAAACAACAAGGTGGACAATTTGGAGTACGTGACACAGTCGCAGAACATCCACCACTCTTTTGGCATGAACCCCTCCCGGGGCAATGCAGGTCACGCCACTTCAAAGCCAGTGATGTGGAGGCCAAAGGGCTCAAAGTTGTGGACGACTTTCCCTTCCATTACGTTTGCCGCCACACAGCTTGGCATGTGTTCTCGCACTCTTTCCAGGCAGTGTCAGCAAGGGAGTCCAATGACAAGGGAGACTGAGAATGAACTCAGATTTGTTGAGTCTTTAGAGCCACCACTCTTGCCGGGCGAAGAGTGGGCACCAATGTTGAGTCCAGCAACAGGCATGCAAGTTGAGGGTCGACAGATAAGTTCTTGTGGCCGCATAATGTCAAGTAGAGGTGTTGTTACACATGGGCATCACCCCAGATTTGGCTACTTCGCAACTGAGTTCCGTGAAGATTCTAGGAGAGTCTATGTTCATGTGCACAAGCTTGTGGCCTATGCCTTTTTGGGGCCGCCACCAAGCCCGGAGCACACACAGATTAACCATAAAGACTACAACAAAGGCAACAACTGTGTGGACAACTTGGAGTACGTCACGCCTTCAGAGAACATGATACACTCTTACAAGAGAAAACGCCTAACTTCTGCTGGTGCCTTGTCCAAGCCGGTGCTTGGCCGTGTAGTTGGGTCTGAAGTTGCGTGGACTTGGTACCCATCTATGCGAGGTGCAGCAAGAAGCCTTGGGATAAATCCTGGTAGCGTGTGGGCTTGCATTCATGGCACCCAAAAGAATGCCGGCGTCTACCAGTTCTGTCTCGCTCCGGCGTGCAGGGCGCCGGAGTTGCTTCCGGGGGAGGAGTGGCGAGCAGTGGACTTGCAAGGGTTGCTGGAAGAGAAGCAGAGACGCCTCAGAAGACTCTAGTACCCATGAAGCGTGTCCTTTTGGCTGAGCCTTCTTGAAAGCCAACAGTTGCTTGAGCCTGTTTGGATGGTTGGAGGCGCAGGGGTCACCAGGGCAGTGAGCCTGAGGCGAAAAACATGCACCCAAAGCAGGTGGAGTTGGCAGGTGGAAGTTGCACATCGAACCTGTGGAGTTGCCGAGCTGCTGTGCGAGTTTCACTCGATCATGGTAGGTGACCATTCTTTCACTCAATTCAAGTGACTGGTTTTGGTTCATGTTTTGAGGGGATTCCCGGAGTGCAGTAGTCATCAAGGATCAACTGAGAAGCTTTTCGGAATTTGAATCTGGGTAGATCTAGAAAAAAAGTTGGGTCATCGCCTTCAAATGCAACGTGTAGGTAAGCCAACCACACCAACCATAGGCCCTGTTCCTTGCAGTTGGCACTGTTTGTGAGGGGTCAGGTAGGCATGTTCGGGAATGTTGCTTCTCCAAGCCTCCGGCTGGTTCGCACTGGCACGGGTTCACCTAGGCATCTTCGACTACGCATGTCTCTCCAAGATCTATCAGTGCAGCCTGGACTGGAGTTTAGCATCCTTTGAAGCGGAAAGGCGGTGACCGCTTCGACCAAAACAGGTCGAGCGTGAGAGAACCGCACCATGTCGCACCACATGGATAGTCTAGTCACCTGGACTGGAATGCCTGGACTGTCACTTGTTCCATGTGCCGAGAACTGGTACTCCATCATGTGGAAGCACAAGTGTGTTGTGCTTTTTATTCAAGGCCCGCGTGGAAAACCATTGTGAAGCAGAAACAATTTTGTGACCTTTAACCCGTCACAGGTCAGATTGGGATGAGATAGTCCCAGAATGGGTTCGCCTGAATGCCACGAACATGCTACTAACCAATTGATCGTTTCAGACGTCTTGTGACCTACTTTTGACCAAGTCATTTCGATTGCGCTTTAGTTTTCCACCGGGTTCTCCATCTAGTGCCGGGCCTGCCGGGGCGTCCTCAGCTAAGGTGGCGACCTGATGCAGTAGGGTAGCCCAGATAGAGTTGACATGAGTTGACCATTTTTTCAGCCGAAGATGGGATTTGGTCCAAGTGGACGATTTCAGGAATATTTGACCGGTTTTACTAGTAGCCTCTAGCTACTATATGCTACTATAGTAGTAATGCCAGGAGCTACTAATTAGTAGCTTGCTCCTAATTCGTAGCGGTGCCCGGCGGGATCGCTCCGTTCGTAGGGATCCCTCTCCGTTCGTCGGCGAGGCTTCGTCCGGATGTGGCGAGCGTCCGGGCCATCGCGCGGGATGGCTGCGACGAGCTGCGCCCCGCCCGGGCGCGGGCAGGGTGGAAGTGATGTTGAGGGTACTATTGAGGGTTTGGCTGGGGCGGGTGGTGCTCGGGTAGCATTGAGGAGAAGAATACAGCAAAAGGGGGAAAGAGAGAGAGGGAGAGGAAGAAAGCAAATAAAGAAGAAGAGGAGAAGGAGAGAAGGAGGAGGAGGAGACTGCACCCATTTTGTCAGGCATTTGGGATATTTGGTTTATGGCACGCCGCATCAGGTCTAAAATAAGCTATCAACAGTTTCACTGACTTGGTGATGGTTGAGCTTTTGAATGATGAGGTTTCATCTGGAAATCATTTTGTGGAGGACCTATAGTAGGCCGAACTTTACTTGTCAAGATTCCGAAGGTGACGGGAACGGGGGCTGTTTCTATTTTGTTCTGCAACGCTACAAACAGCACCAAAAACTACGACTTGTTGACAATTGCTCTACCAGGTCCGCCATGTAGACTTGGTGTGGCCCAGGCGTCGGTCTGTGCAACAGATAGTTGCTTCAAGATAGCCGAAAATCGATCCCAAACGTTAGAGGCAGGTAGCATCCGGTCTTGTCATGCTTTGCATTGATATCACCCCTTTAAAAAAATTGTAAATCTCTATAGTCTATAGTCATATATATAAAATCACCCATTGACCAGGACCATAGCATCTCATGACCAACGCAAACAGTTTCCGTTGAACAAGGTGCCCCTTTGGCCGCCCACGGCCCCACCCGCCTGAGCACTGCCTGAGCCAGGGGCCCAGTACGCGCACGCCGACCACTACGAGGGCCAGCAGCGCTGTGGACCCGATCAAGGGCGAAGTCGCTGACGCCTGGTGGCCGGAGGAGTGGGGTAACTTGGCCTGAGCTGCCGGCGGTGCCAGAGGTCATCAAGTTGAGATTCGAAGACAACAGCCACTGCTTCTAATGTTGAGAACAACATGTGATTATGCTTGACCGGAATGGACTTTCTTTTGGTGAACAAATGATGGCAAATGTTTGATGAATGGCCTTCCTTGGATCAGCATTGCTGGGACTGTATAGCTCAGCCAGTTGTTCTACAAATATTGGTTGATTCAGTTGTCGAACTATGCCAAGTCAGACGAGAACACCACAAGAAGAACCATGTCAATATGACTGGTCGTTTTGGGATTTGTTGGGGTGCTCTTGAATATCATCCTTGACCCTAAGAAGTGGCTTGGCTCTTCTCTTCTTCCTTTCGTTCAGCTCTCCATTGCTGGTGCAAATCCTTTCTCCTCAACACACTTTCCTGGTCAATTTCCTAGTTCTGCATCCGGCACTTTCAAGGGTTGCTCAAAGGGAGCCAATGGTGAAGGCCCTCCGCACCTATGCCTACGCATGGCTTCGGCTTCATAAAAAAAAATTGGCCGAGAAAACATGGAAAGCGTGAACGGCAAAACGTCCAAAGCATTGGAATCATTAGGAATCTGAAGCTGCATTGGTCTTGCATCATTGTGTCGCGTAGGGCTCTTCACAGCTAGGCTTGCAAAGCACAATAGTTTGTATTCAAACAAATGATGTTTGATATGCAACCTGTTAAGAAAATAGGCGTGTGCCTTTATTTATGCCATACAGATTGTTACATCTGAAAAGCCGAATCACTGCAAAGCAGTCGAAGGCGTCGGTGACGGAAAGCATACACATTCCAAGAAGCAGCCCCGCTCTGCGCGGGTTCATTCGAAACATTATACTGCACCGCAGTGCACAGGAAGCTGCGAAGGCCGACTCAGGATCGCAGGTGGATCGAGCCAGCAAAGATACAGGGAGCAAAACGAAACGAAACATGTCTCTCAAAAGAAAACGGCGGGGCTCAACCAAGTTCTTCCTGCGCACGTCGCTCAGTCCTACGATGTTCTTGTGGAAAGCAGTGTGGGAACGAATGAGGCCACATTGAAACCTATCATAACGCACGTCCCTGGCAATATCAAAAGGAAGATCTAGACAATCCAAGTGTTGATGCGCAGTGGGGATGGATGCCACTCAGACGCCCTTCAATTAATTCCATCCACTCTTCTTCTTCACGTGGAAGTTTGGGTGTTCGCAGATGATTCTAAGCGGGTTCCCACTTCAGGGAGCTGGAAGGGAAGAACCACTGACTTCAGACCCACTATGTTTTGATTAAAGTTCAGGAACCATGGAACAGGCCATTTTAGTGGGTCCTGGGAACTCGTCCAGACCAAGCCGTCACAGGCCGGCGACCAAGCTGGAAAAGCGACCGGCCAACGTGTCATGATCGGTGGTGAGAACGTGTGAGAACGTGTGTGTGTGTGTGTGTTGCTTTTCTCGTGTGAGAGTTCTTCGGTTTTATCACAATGTCTCGTGTGTCGCTTTGCTCCGTCATCAATGTCCAAGGTATTGTCGTGTGGCTGGGGATCGCCATCGTGAGTGGTTTCCTTCTGCTGGGTTGTTGCTATTTGGCCCATCGTTGGAGACGGAGATTGCAGCCGCTCGTTGAAGCGATTTTGCAACCATGAAGAGTTGATGTGAGATGAGAGGTTTCATCACACTCATGGAGGTTCATGAAGATCCGCCTATAGGTGACTCTTGTGATTTTACTTTGATCCTCTAGGGACTCCACTGGTCTCGGAGCATGTCTCTTCGGCTGCGAAAGGGAAACAACAGATTCGGAAGGATTTGGAAAGCCTTACTGGTAGTAACAAGAAGCTACTAGGAACAAGTGCATTGCTAGTAGTAACAAGTGCCTTACTGGTAGTAACAAGAAGCTACTAGG